TGGCACCCTCCTACATTGGTGGAGTCTACCTCTTTTTATCTGCAATATCCGCCCTCCCTTCCCCACAGGTGGGCGGGGTTTGCGGCACCAAGCGAGGCTCACCTGGGCGGGTGCCACCCACCTGCCTGAGTTGGCCTTTGACCCACCCCCGGCCAGGGAGGACAATGGACAGCCGGCCGGGGGTGGGCCTAAGGCCAAAGGAAAAGAGGCTGACTCCTGGGCTCAAGCCTTTTTTGCTGCTCTTCCTTCTGGGATCACCCACCCACCCTCCCTCAATTAATATTTCTTGCCTTTTAGTTTCAGCTTAGGTCAGCGATCTTCAGTTTAACGATTTCTTCTTTACAGGCTAATATTTTGCCTTCCAGGTCAGCGGGCGCTGCTGCGGTCGTAAGATGGTTGCTGTATTCAGAACCGGGAAGGAATTTTCCCTGCATTGGCAGGTTTCGCCTTCCCCGTAGCAATTTCATCACAACTTTGGCGGTTTTAGGCCTTGGCAAGGTAGCCTTTAGTCTAACATTAAGTTGGGGGGGATGCATTCATGCTCCCTCCCCATGCGGCAGCGCTTGCAGGGCCCGTTAAAGGGCAAAAACCGGGAGTCCCTGGCCCTAGAGCGGCAGCATGTAGGTCAAACTCCCCGGAGTAGGTCAGTGGAAGGGCATGCTGTGTAAGTTTGCGCTTTGCAGTCCCCTCTCACTGGGCCTCAACTGCCTGCATATCCTCAGCCAGGCGGGCTGAGAGGGTTACCTGCCAAGGCCTGTGCCAAGTTTCCCACTTCTAAAATTCAATAAAGTTGTGGCCAATTTGAACCCATACTCTGGTCTCTTGTGTCATCATTTGGGAAAAGGGGGTAGGCACCACAGACAGGGTTTAGCGCGTGTGCCCGCAAAAAAACTCATGACAGGAGTCATTACAGGAGATCTTGGACTCTGTATCAGACCCTGATGGCAAAGGTGGTTCTGTTAGACTATGAACCACCTGAAAGAGTCTCCTGGTACTGTTTTCACCAACAGATCACAGTGCCAGGTTTAGACCACAGCGCCACCCGCGTCCCTCCTGCACATCCATACCCTGGGGCAAGTCTGGTGATGGGCTCTTGGTTTCTTTGGCCAACTAACTGCTCAGTAATTGTCACCTTTGGGCACTTTCCTGGGTGGGGGGGGGCGGGGTGTACACGTGTCCTCATGCTTGAGGGATTATGGTGGGAGATAGAGGGGGAAAGAGTCCTTTCCTTAAGGGCAAGAATGGCGTTGGAATGGAGGAAATTGATGCAGGGGGTTGATTTTCGAGGATTTTCTGAAGTGAGGGGCTTTTCCTAAGCCGGCAGTCCGTAAGGGAAGTGGCTTGACAGATTTCTTGCAACAAAGGATCACTTTTGGCAATAGAAACCAGTTAATGGGCTTTTGATGGACTGAGTCCATTGTTCTCTCAGCAGGCGGCCACTCAGGAGCTCAGTCAAGCTGGCGAAGCTCCGCTGCTCTGCAGAACGGAAACAGGCAGCGGTGCAAGAAAGATTCTGTCCACTAGAGGCCGCTATCCGCTATTGGCTAGCTGTCCAAATCGGATGCTTTTGATTGGTCTATACGCAGCAGTATGTAAATACAGAGTTCATGCCCAAGTCCCCGTTCATATTGATACAGTTTCATACCAGAAAGAGGGAAGCAGGGTCTTTTCTTCATAAAAAAAGATGTGGTGCTTGGTGCGACAGGGGAAAGAAAGGGCTTTCTCGACCTCATTGTCTCGCGCCCTAGCTATGTGGAGGGGTTTCTGGGGAAGGCGAGATCCCTAGCGAATTTCCCCCTCGGAAATTCCGTATAGCATATTCTTAGAAAAGAAAGAATAAAGGAAAAAGGAGGGGGGGAGAGAAAAGACTGAAAGGGAAGAAAGGTTCCCTCTGTTCCCCTCCACTCTTCCAAAAGAATTCCGAGCTGAGGTGCAGAGCTCTTTCCTCCCTTGTGACCTCCCCACCCTCCTCCTCCTCCTCCCTTCCACATAACTGGCTGTGTCACCTTGCCTGCCAATCATACCTCCCTTTGAACTGAAGCAGAGTTCCATCCCTGTTTGTGCCACTTCTGGAGTCTAAAAGCCGAGGACCTAAATCAGCCAAAGGAAAAGGACACCCTTCCTACCCACCCAAAAATGCAACTTTCTTTGGTCTGTTTGCTACTGGACGTGGTCGCCAAGCTTGACAAAAGGGGTTTGTTTTTTTCTTTTGTTTTAAGAAGCAAAGCAATAGCTCATTTGCTTGCGAGTGTGGGAGTCTGCAATTCTTGGTGTTCCAGGGCTTTATGCAAGTTGGAGTTGCCTCCAGTCCAGCCCGGATGTAAGAACAGTCCTTCTGGATTAGACCAATGGATGATCTAGTCCAGCACCTTGTTCCCCATAGTTGCCCAGCAGAGGCTCACAACAAGCCCATAAGCAGGACCTGAGTGCAATGGCCCTCTCCCACTCATATTCCCAAGCAGGGCCGGACCTCTGATGAGCCAGAGTGAGGCAGCTGCCTCAGGCGGCCGATGCTGAGGTGAGGGGATTGAGCTGGGAGTGGCCTGTGGCCTGTCCTGTACCCCTACGTTAGCTGACTGCTCTCAAGTGCAGGGAAAGCTCCTGTCCTTTCCAAAGTACTTGGAAGAAGATTCAACAGTCAATCCAATTGGCTTCGGTACAGGATAGATTTTGGGGTGTTTTACTGTTTTGGATGTTTCAATTTGCTGGGAGCGCCCAGAATGGCTGGGGCAACCCAGTCCGATGGACAGCACAGAAATCTCAACGTTGAATTTGTCTGATTTCCTTTCAGAGCCATTCAAGTTGGTACTTTTCAGCACCTAGGGGTGTAGTGGCATCTGGACCATGGACCTCTCAGCTGGTGACTTGTGGGAGTCAGTCTGCAGCTCACCACACCTCAGCCAGTGGGATGTATCACCAGAGATTACAGAACCCCAGCCGAGTCTTCAGAGATGTCCTGCTCTCAGCAGAGCAGCTTCTTCCAGAGCAGTGGCGGAGCAGGGTGGGGGCGGTCCGCACTGGGTGTCATCCTGCTGGGGGGGGGGGACATTCACTGTAGGCTTGAGAAGCTGGGAGTCGTGGGTGGGCGCTCCCGGCTGGAGGAGGCAGGCAGGGGAGAGGACGGGAAGGAGGCAGGTGAGCAAAGAACGGAGGGGGGCAGGAAGGGGAGAGGAAGGAAGCGGGATCGGTGGGTGCGCCTTTCATTCTGCCTGGAAGACCAGCGCCTACAGCTGGACTATCAAGTGGATTGAAAGGGTCACTTTGGGGGCAGCGCTGCAAATGCAGAAGGGATCTTGGCTGGTTTCTAAAAAGGGAAAGTGAGTTTCCCTCTGACAAACGCTTTCTGCCTCCCCTCTGCAAAGCTCCACATGTTTCCGCCCCACCCTCTCCTCAGCCAACCCCCACTTAGAAGCCACTCTTGGGTTATTGACTTCTGTGTGCTTGTGTATCTGTGTCTCCCGTGTGGGGTTCCTCTCTGCGTAAAGTCTTCAAGCTGTGCCTGTGTGCGCCTGACAAATCGGCCCCATTGCCTTTCCCTCGTCAAAATTTATCTCCCCCCCCCCTCCAGTCTCCCTTGTTGTGGGTCCTGGCTGACAGGAAAAACAGAAGACGGGGGGGCCATCAGTCAGGGATAATCTACTTGAGATTCCTGCATTGCCCCAGGGGGTTGGCTTGATGACCCTCAGGGGTCCCTTCCAGCTCCACTCTTCTCTGGTGCAGGCTTGTGCAGATTTTTAGGTACAAGTTGGATGCAAAGGGTGCAGCCCATCTTATGCACCGCCGGCTCGGGAAGAAGTCCCACTGATCATGATGAGACTCGCAGGCGAGTAGATTGCTGCTGTGCAGGCCTGCTGTTGAAATCAATGTTTTCCTTTTCAGAGCATGGTGAAATCCCCATAACTAAAACCTCCCCTTCCGTAGTTTCTGTCAGGAGTTCAGCCTACACTCGAGTAGCACCCTGGCAGAGACATGTGCCCGACTGGCATGTTCCCTCCCTCCTGGTCGATCGTTTGGGAGCTTCATAAGCTTTCTTCAGCCCGAACATCACAGCGACTGATGCCAAGCGACACCGGCAGACTTAGGGATCCGCAGAGTTTGTGCATCATGTGTGACAGACCTCAGCAACTCAGCATTTTGGCTAATCTGCTTTATTTACATATCAAGACACACACGGAGCACTGCAACATGGCTCCCTCTCTCTCTAGCATCAGACAGCAAAGAGAAAAAGAACAAAGGACTATAGTCCCACTTCACGGAACACAGGAACACAAACATCCTGTCACCGTCACTTCCCACTCTGTGGAGTCAAAACATAGACAACAATCTCATGACTGCAATCATGGAGCTGGAATTCTAACAGTTTCAGGCACTCCTACAGGTTCCGCAGAATATCTGTACTGCATGGTTTAGTGTGGCAGCACCTGCCCTTTGGAACTCCCCGCCTCTTGCAACAAAGCACGTGCCTTTGCTAGACGCTTTTCAGGCACCTGCTAAAAGCATTCTTGTTTAGGCAAGCATACCTAGAAGTTTAGGAAGTTGAAGAATTTTTCATCTCTTTTAATATTTTAGCTTTTGTATGTTTTAAAGTAGGATTGTTGATTTTTCTTGATTTTACTGCTGTAGTGGTTTTTTTTGTTTTTTGTTTTGGTAAACCACTTTGCAGGCTTTTTAAAATAAATTTTATTAAATAAAGAAGCAATAGTAAAGGTAAAGGGACCCCTGACCATTTGGTCCAGTCGTGACCGACTCTGGTGTTGCAGCGCTCATCTCGCTTTACTGGCCGAGGCAGCCGGTGTACAGCTTCCAGGTTATGTGGCCAGCATGTCTAAGCCGCTTCTGGCGAACCAGAGCAGCGCACGGAAACGCTGTTTACCTTCCCGCCGGAGCGGTACCTATTTATCTACTTGCACTTTGACGTACTTTCGAACAAAGAAGCAATACATAGAACTACTAATAGAAATATATAGGAAAATATATATTCCACCCCCCCCCCATTTTCTTTATTTTTGCTTCTCCTCCTGCTGCTGCTGCTCCTCCTCCTCCTCGTGTTCCTCACCTGAAGGAAAAGCCAAAGAACCACCATTAAAATTGGTGCCTGGTATGTGCAACCATATGCTGTATTTGAGCTCCTATCACTGAGAAAAAGAAGGGAGCGTCTGTGCATGTCATTCTTGTCAAGTTGCACCAAAGTGGGACTTGTTCATCTGAGCTCCACAAGCTGGTTTTTTTAATTGCTTGACTGGGGTGGTTTGTTGGTTTTTCTTTAATTTGAGGCAAGGCCTTTTTATGTGCCCTTTCAATCCCCAAGAGCCAGCACTGTAAATCAGTTTTAAGGGAGTCTTACAACCACAGCTGCCGCCACCCCCCACCCCCCAACATCATCAGTAGTTACACATAAAGGCTTTTGAAACTTATTTAATATCTTTTTTAAAAAGTTAACCTTATAATTCCTAAATCATTTTAAACACTTTGAAATACTTTCTAAAATTCTGCTTTTTAACATTTATGTAAATGATGTAATAAAGGAACCCAAATGGCCAGATATTTCCCTGTTTCAGTTTTATCCCATAATGTATCCATTTTGCTACATGCCAACGATACGGTGTTGTTAGCACAAACGCAAGTGGGTATGAGGCGATTACTAAAGAACTTTGGGAGACTGTGTCGTAACAAAGATTTGAATACAAATTATTCCAAGACAAAAGCCGTAGTATTGGGGGCACAGCCCAGGAAGCAGAAATGGCTCCTAAATGGACAAGCCATTGAACAAGTCAGGCATTTCAACTACAGTGGTACCTCTGGTTGCGAACGGGATCCGTTCCGGAGCCCCGTTCGCATCATGAGCAGAACACAACCCGCGTCTGCACGTGTGTGGGTCGCGATTTGCCGCTTCTGCACATGCGCGTGACGTCATTCTGAGCGTCTGCACATGTGCGAGCAGCGAAACCTGGAAGTAACCCGTTCCGTTACTTTCGGGTCGCCGCGGGACGCAACCTGAAAAGACGTAACCTGAACCGAGCGGAACAAGAGGTTGCTTCTCTCATAGGAGTACTGGGTCTCATCAGATGACAGCCTCGGCCTTGAAGGCATCAAGATCTGCACAAGCAATCCTTAGCTTTACCAGAACTGAAGGCGGCAATGGGATTGCCCCTGCTCCGAGAAGATATACAGTGGTACCTCGGAAGTCAAACGGAATCCATTCCAGAAGTCCGTTTGACTTCCCAAACATTCGGAAACCAAGGCACGGCTTCCGATTGGCTGCAGGAGCTTCCTGCACTCAATCCGAAGCCGCGGAAGCCCCGTCGGACATTTGGGCTCCAAAGAACATTCACAAACCGGAACACTCACTTCCGGGTTTGTGGCGTTTGGGAGTCAAAACATTTGAGTCGCAAGGCGTTTGGGATCCAAGGTACGACTGTATTGGTAAGGCGCCCCCACAGGTAACATGGGGGGGGGAGAGAACGATAGGAGGGGATCGGGAGAGACAGGGAAGCCCAGAGGGAATGCCCCACCCAGCCCAGGTCCGACCCCAAGCCAATATCACCAGCGGCTGGAGCAAAAGAGCAGAGGAACCGCGCACCGGGGCCTGGCTGGGGGCTAGAAGAACCCGGCGTGGACCCTCCCCTGCCAGTGCTTTATGTTATTTAGTTTATTTTCAGTCCATTTCTTATCAGTATTTTAAAGCCTTATGAACCCAGGTGCCTGAACCACTGGAGCCCTTTTCCTGGAACCGCCGCCTCAGCCCTGACCTAGGGACCCGACACCAAGCCCTGGGGGTCCCACAGGAGAATTCAAACTGCCCCTTTTTCTTGTCCCCCCCCTCTCTCTCACTCTCTCTCTTCTCCTTCTTCTTTAGTTATACACATAACCCTCCCTTTTTTATTAATACATTATTACTCATTATTCATCCATTTCTATTCACTTCTTACTCATTTAGTCATTTTCATTACTATTACTTTCTCTTTTTTTAAAAAAAGTTTTTTTTAATTTCTCATTAAAGAATTCTATATATATATCTACTTTTCCATCCCCACTCCCCCCTTTTTCTATTTACTTATTACAATGGTTTTTTTTTTCTTTTCCTTCCCTTTTCTGAACAAACAAACAACCATTTCCAGTAGGATTTTTTGTGTTTTCTTTTTCTTTCTTTCTTCTTTTTCTCTCTATCTCTTTTCTCTCTTCCTTATCTTTTCTTTTTCATCTTGCCTTTTGTCTGACACTATAACTTGAATCACCACAGCGACTTTTGATTTTTAAATAGAATTCCATTAGCCTTTACATTTTTAACTTTTGACTCTTATCTGCAAACTCCCAACCCCACCTCCCCACCTTAACACTGGGAGGGCCATGTCCCCGGAATTTGTGAAGACAGGATTCTCAAAAATACCTCTGGCTTGGGTCTCCTGGAGTATTACAGGCAACGCCTGGAGTTTTTCTTCAAGCTCCTGGACCTTCATACGCAATGCTTGATCATCCTTAAGTACTGTTTCCGCCCCCGTCTTAGGGCTATTGGACGCCTTCTTCAGTATTTCAACATGCTGGAGAGGACAGACACTTCCTGCTAGACATTTACTCCAGACATTTACAGAAGGCACAGAGGCACTGGTTGAAGAAGTTGGGAATGAGCAGACAGTGCTATTGCTGAGAAGGAGCTCCACCCCAGGGTGCCAAAGAGCTCTTTCCCTAGCCTGCAGGTGCCAGAAGGCCAAGCGCTGGTGTTGCAGTGGTGGTACTTCAGAGGAGTAGGAGAAAAGGCTGCTCTGGATTCTGGGTATATAAATGGCCTTGCCTGAGCTGTGGATTGTGCTCTGCATTAGCAGAGAGGCTCTACTTAGTTGCAAATGAAGCACATTTCAGTTGTTATAGAAACCGGTGTTTCCATGCATGCTTGTTCAGGAACTCTGTGAACTAGACAGCCGCTGTTTTAAACTGGCCCTTTTTCTGGCAGGTTAAACGATTAAAGTTGACTTGATTAACTTCATCCGCCAACTACCCTTCTAAGCAACCAGAGCAATTACAAATAAAAGGATCTCCAACCGTGCGCTATCCCTATCTGCAAGCAAGCTCTCCCACAAAGTGGGGGGGGCAGGGGATCCCCTCTGCTGTGCTTTGCCTCAACGCCCCAAAGACAAGCCGTCCAGCTGGAGAAAAGGGGGGAGGGGTGTACGCCACAGGAACGGCCAAGAACGCTGTTTTTTGCTCAGCAATGAGGCGTTAAAGCAGACAGACCTTCCTCTGGGTCTGCTCTCTCGGGTCGGGCTCTCCCTCTCCTCAGTGGCGGCTGCAGCAAGGTTGGGGCACCCCCCCAGCCAGCGGATTGGCTGGCTGGAATGTCCCCGGATTTAATTATTGTCCCCGGATGTAGTCGGGACCTCCGATGCTGCTTGCTGCCATGGCGTCAGCCGTGTTGCAGCGCAGGAAGTCCCCAGGCGTAAATCCGGGGACGTTCCGGGGACAAATTTCTGCCGGGGACAGATTGCTGAATCTGGGGACTCTCTCTGGCAACCGGGGACGCCTGGTAAGCCTCCTTCTGCCCTTACCTGAGCAGCAAGTGCAGCTTGTCCTGGATCACCGTGGATCCCTTCAGCTGCCATCAAGCTTCCAGGTGTGGATCTCTTGTCCTGACCTGAATACAAAAGAAGTGATTTTACATCTCCATTCCAACACGAAACGAAAGCCCAGAGCCTCGCTTCATGCTCCCCCTCATCTGGAATATGGTCACTTCCAGCCCCCTCCCAGCCCAAGGATCTCCTTGTATGACAGAGAGGTTTTCTGTGGAGTGCTGCCTCCCTTTGCTGGTGCAAGCTGCTTCTCCAGCAGAAAAATGCTTCCTGGTAGATTGGAAGTGGCCACCCCTCTTTCCCCAACCCATTCCATATGCATCCCGACCCCAACTATCAGGATTTGCCATCTGGCCTGACTCTACAGTGCTGCTGATACACAAGACAGGCAATAGCCTGCCACTCACTAACCTAACTGCAGCCTTACAGGAAAATAATATAAGAGCAGCCAGAGATTTTGTAGTCCAGCCTATTCACATAAGGAGACCAGTCCCCTGCAGCGCACACCCTCCTACTCAAAACCAAGTCAGCTCACCGCCATAAACTGGGCCTCTTTCTCCTGCTTCACTTCTGAGATATTTCAGGGCAGGCTGGATTAAAGTCGGCTCACATTCCTGGCAAGGCTGTTTTCGTCCACGGAGTTTGTTCTATGAGACACATGAGCCAAATAGCCGAGGAGACAGTTTTTTAGCTGCCTGTCATTCATGCACTTTATACTGAAAGGATTTCAGGGGCAGATGCTATTTTTCTGCATGGAGGGTGGGGGTTTCCAAAGGGGCACTATTCAGACCTGCATTCATGGCTTATGAGTCGTAGCCGTGTGACAACTGCACATCATGCTGATGTGTTGAAGGGCTGATGTTGCACTTGCAGGTAGAAGAGCTCGTTGGCATTATTTTAGGCTCTGTGTCAATTGACTTTGTGACATGATGGGGGGGGGGAGTTATTATTTTTACAGTATTTACCTGCAACCTCTTATGTGGGAATCTCAAGGTACTTTACAACTAGGTCCGAAAATAGGCAAACATTGAAATGCAGCAGAATAAACAGGTCTACAGTAAAAAAAAAATCCCTCAAAGCCCATATTGACTGGCAGCAGCATCCCCCCAAGTCCATGATGGAGAAACACTTTCCCCATATGGAGCAGAATTGCACCCATGTTGGCAAAGGCCTCCTTTCTAGAAGGGGAGCAGAGGCTGCCCCCACCCACTGCTCTCTTCTCCCAGGCATCTGAAGAGACAAACGGCTCCCCTTCTCTACCTGTGTGCCACAAGCCTGAATTGCAAGACAGTTCCCACTTTGGGGCAACAGGGAACAAACATGCAGAGGACGAGTTCTGAGGCTCCCCCCAACAAAGCCATTTCCCTGGGCCCACCTGCCAGCCTGCTGCTGGCTGGCTGCCCACCCACAGGAAAACGGCACGATTCTCCCCACCAACAGGACATAACAAGAAGATGGGCACTATAACATAGGACTTCCTAACTTGTGAGTTCTGATAAGCCGCTGCTGCATTACAAAGCCTCAAAGCCCTTTCCATACCTCTCAATCTGGACTTACCTGGCCTTGCCCCTGGCCGCCTTTAGCCAGATCAGCTGTGCTCGGAGCTGGGACAGACCCCTCTGGAGACTTAGAGGTAGAGGAAACAGCCTGGGTCCCCTGGAGAGCACTCTCAAAGGAGATGCCCGCAAAGCAGATCACACTTTTCCTAGTCCCAGACTGCAGGCTAGAGAACGTCGCTGCATGCTGGTGACCCATTCCCTGGGTGGTGCACTGGGAAGAAGAAACCTCATCCAGAGATGGGAGGGAAGCACCTCGGCCAGTTCCATGCGGCCTTTCTTCGGAAAGCTGCTCGGGGACCTGCAATGGAGCACTGCGCAAGGAGGAGGAAATGTGGGAGGCCTGCTGGGAAGGCTGCTGGGACCCCGACTCTTCCTGGCTAAGGGAAGCAGCTCTTCCAGTGGTATCTCTGGGAACAGAGGGCATCGAAGTGAGCTGGAAATGAGAAGGCTCAGCCAGGTGGCAGCCGGAGGTCTCTGTGGTCGCACCCAGGGATTCGTTGGGCGAACTTTTCTTCTCCATTCTGTGGACACGAAGGCAAGTCTTCTGACCACTGTACCAGCTGGTTTCAAAGGCTATTTTTTTATGAAAGCTGAAAAACAAAGAAAAGACATTATACAGAAATCAGTGTCAGATATCAAGGATATTGAAAACATAAAAATGAAAAGAAACAGAAGACGAAAAGACTTCTGATTCTTTGTCTATCAGCTTTAAAAACTTATGCAAAACAAGAGTTTAAAAACTTATGCAGAACAAGACCTAGAAGTAAGCTGTTTGACGCACTAAACTGAGCCGTCGGAGAAAGACTGGGGCGGGCGGCAAGTGGGAGGGGGAAGTTTTGCGCTTCTGTCCCGTCAGAAAAATGCTGATCCTCCCAGGATGCAGCCTGCTTGCAGACAAGGGGGCTGCACTGCCTCAAAGCCCATCAAGGCCACAGGCTGCTAGCATGACTCATCCCGGCTTTCTCAGTTGAGGGAAAAGGGTGTGCGGTCATAAACGCAACTAGGCTGAGCTACCTTGGGCCAGTTCTTGGGCCAGTCCTTGGGCCAGCTTAGCCTCCCTCACAGAGGGTTGTTCTGAAGATACACTCAGGAAAACACCCGAGGCATGAAGAAGAAGAATGAGGAGAGTCTGGAAAGGGGGGTGGGGAGTGTTCCCACCCCAGCCAATCCAGGATGGGAAGTGCGTCCCGGGGGAAGCGGGATTCAGGCGGAGGAGGACGTCGGGTTGGGTGGGGGTTGCCAGGAGCAGCACGATGTCCCTCGAACCCCTGGCTTCCACTCTCCAGGCAGGCGCCCAACGTGGCCAGCTGGCAAGGGCTCTTTCTTACTCCAGCCTTGGCGCGCAGATCCCACGTTCAGCCCCAGATCCAGGTTCTGATATTATGAGGAGGAAACATCGCTCTGCACCTTTCCCACATCATGCATACTTCTATGATGTCCCCACTTTCCCCCCTCTTGCAAAGCCCCAAAGCCTCCTACATTGTAAGCCTTCCTTACAGGGGAATCATCAGAGCCACCTGTGCTGCAGAGCTTCTGGCTTAAAGGCGACTCATGTAGATTTGCAATGACTGCTGCAATGCACCCCTAATATTTCAGATTGTATCATTATAGTGTCATTGTGTTTATTTGTTGTTGATATATTAAATTTGTATAATCTTAGGAGCAGTGTGTCTGTGAGTGCCATGAAGGGAGCCTGCACTTTGTGATTTGCCAGGGCACTACTGCAGGTTAGGAAGGAGGAAGAGGCAAAGATCCTTTCCCCAGTCAAACATGTTTGCACCCAGGGTGTTTCTAGACTGTCAGTATTTTGTGGGAGGGATTCGGGTCCAGCCCAGAACTTCAGCTTTTCCAATGAGAATGGATTAAAGCACTCTGACCATTCCCTTAGTAGAGTCTAACCACTGTTGTAAATTTTGGGTAAGCAAGACATGAACGCAAAACAAACAAGTGGTCGTCTGCTCCGGAGGAACCCCTGCACTGTAAATATATTGACAGCACACTTATAGGTCTTTGGCATCGGCATTCCAGAACTGTGAAGGTTGCCTCAAATGTTGAGCAGCACAGCTAAGGAAGAAGGAGTGGAGTGTCTCTGGGGGGAGCATAGCTCCCATTCCCTTCCAAACACACAGACAGGACAGTGTGGTGGCACCCAGGGAATAGTTGCAGCAGCCGGATGGCTGGCAGAAACACACACCATTGCACTCTTTTTGAATGGGATTCACTCTGAATCAGCCAGTTAGTGAACTTGGTGCTCCTGTGCAACAAACCCACTACAAAATTGCTCTTCCTCACACACTTCCAGGTCCCTCCAGCTGGGCTTTTTGAGTGTGATGGGTTTTTCTCACTCCAGAGCAGTTTGTGTTTAAGCTGAAGATCACCAGGAAAGCAAGGGAGACTAAAAATTTTGCATTTGTTGAAATAATAAGGTTTTAATAACTCTGATAATGACTGTGTGGAAATGACTGGGAAAAGGGAAAAAAGGAAAATCAAGGCTTTTGACTCTTGGTTTCCTTGAAGAACATCAAAAGACTCCCCTGGACTAGGAGAGACATCTCATTAACAACTAGAGAAATGCCAAAGAACAAAGCCTTGTTATCACCTCTTTCTCTTCAATTAGCCAGCTGCTCTGGCAGATGACATCAGTTCCTTCCCACTCCCAATATTCCTGCTCCTAACCTGGTTAGCCATAGCCCGGAAGCTGAATCTCAGGGGAACACCTTTGGGCTGGGAAGGGCTCATCTTTTCTGGGCCTCTTCTCCCCTTTGGAAGGGGTGCTTGGCTCTACAGTTGTTAATGAGATGTCTCTTCTAGTCCAGGGGAGTCTTTTGATCTTCTTTCAGAAAACCAAGAGTCGAAAGCCTTGATTTTCCTTTTTTTCTTTTTCCAGTCATTTCCACACAGTTAGTCATTATTAGAGTTATTAAAACCTTATTATTTCAACAAATGCCTATGTAAGGAATTTAATGTCTATATAAGGACTTGGTTCGGGGTCCCCTCCTCCCTCCTGCATGGGGGGGGGGTGAGCACCTTGTTGCAACAGTTAATAAAGATCTGGCTTGCTACCTGCTTTGCTTCTCAGTTTTCTCTGGTTGGCCTCTGTTATTTTCTCCTACCGATAGAGAAGCTACAAAAGGGCTCTATATGGGCTCTGAGGTACCCCAGAAGGGAAAAGGAGCCGTTTTTTCTTTTCTTTTTTTTAAAAATAAGTTTTTATTGTTAAAATAGTTCATCATTAATACACATATACAAGCATACAAACATACATTTCATACAATCCTTAAAAGTGTTCAAACATACTTACACTCAATCCCACAAATAATTCCTTTCCCCATCACCATCCACCACCCCTCACTTTGTGTTTGACTTCCAGTCTACTCAATTACAATTTCTTTCCACTTCTATTACTTTCTTTCACACACCTTTAGCCTAATTTCATACTTCTTTTTCTATTACACATTGTTATCCATCTTATTTGATATTTCAGTATTTGAAACAGAACTTGTTTATTCTAATAGGAGTTCTGATTTTTCAATATGATTTTGCAAGTATCTTTTAAACACCTTCCAGTCCCTATCTATCTTTTCTTTTGAAATCCTTCCAATTTCTTCCATTGTTTTGGATATATTGTAATACTCCAATAATTTGGCAAGCCACTCTGTTTTTGTCGGTATTATACCACTTTTCCAGTTTTTCGCAATCAATAGCCTTGCTGCTAGTGTTGCGTATAAATATAAGGTCTTATCTTCTTCCTTTAGGCTTCCTGGTACTATTCCCAATAGAAAACCTTCTGGTGTTTTCCTAAATGAGTATCTAAACATTTTTTTCATTTCATTATATATTATTTCCCAAAATTGTTTGATGTTTAAACAATTCCACCATATATGTATCATAGTACCTTTTCCCGTGTTGCATCGCCAGCAGACATCGCTACAATTTTTATTCATTTTTGCTATTCTTTCAGGTGTTAAATACCATCTATGTTGCATTTTAAGGTAATTTTCTTTCAGTATATAACACATAGTGAATTTCATATCTTCTTTCCACAATTTTTACCATTGTTCAAACATAATATTTTCCCCAATATCTTGCGCCCATTTAATCATTGATGCTTTAACCAATTCATCCTTGTTTCCCACTCTAAAATCAGATTATACAATTTAGATATATTTTTTGATTTTTCTTGTATTAAGTATTTATCGAATTTTGATATTTCTTTTTCAATCCTAACTTTTTGTCTTTCGCTAATCTATACTTAATTTGAATATATTGGAACCAATCACTAATATGAGCTTTAATTTCTGTGTAATCCTTTAATTCCAATTCTCCGTTTTCTTCCTTTAATACAGTTTTATAGGTAGCCCAATTTTCTTTCATATTTAATTTTTTCACTGCAACAATTTCTGCTGGCGATGCCCACCAGGACGTTTTCGGTTCTAGGAGTCTTTTATATTTTTCCCATATTTTATATATAGATTTTCTGATTATATGCCCTAGGAAGCCTTTATGTACTCTCACTTTTTCATCTATTAGATAGGCATGCCATCCAAATCTCGTCTCTACTCCCTCTAAATCCAATACATCCGAGTCATCTAATTTGATCCATTCCTTTAGCCAGGTCAGACCCACCGCATCGTGATATAACTCCATATCTGGGAGACCAAATCCTCCTCTCTCCTTCTTATCTATCATTATTTTGTGTTTTATTCTTGGCTTTTTCCCTGACCATACGAATTTAGCCAAATCTCTTTTCCAGTTATTAAAACATTTATCTCCTCCTAGTATTGGGATACTTTGAAATAAAAACATCATCCTTGGTAATATGTTCATCTTTATTACCAATATTTTCCCTAGTAAGGAAAGATTTAATTTCCCCCATACTTGCAAGTCATTTTTTATTTCATTCTATGTCTTCCCATAGTTCTCATTACTTAAATCTATAGTGTTTGTTGTTAAATTTATTCCAAGATACCTTATTTTCTTTTTAATTTCCAATCCTGTAATTTCTTGTAATTTCACTTTATCTTTTTCTTCCATATTTTTCACTAGTATTTTGGTTTTCCCATAGTTTAATTTGAATCCTGCTAATCTGCCATATTCGTTTATGCATTCCAATATTCTAGGTGTACATTGTAGGGGATTTTCTGTTGTGATCATAACATCATCTGCAAAGGCTCTTAACTTGTATCTTTTTCACCAACTGCTATCCTCTTATTTGGTTGTCCTGCCTTATTTTCTTTAATAGAACCTCTAATACTATTATAAATAACATTGGGGATAGGGGGCATCCTTGTCTTGTACCTTTAAAGATGTTGATTTCTTCTCCAAACTCTCCATTGATAATAATTTTTGCTTTCTGTTGGTTATATATTGCATTTATACCTTTTTGGAATTTTTCACCTAGACACAATTCTTTTAATAGTTTTGTCATAAATTCCCATGAGATTTTGTCGAAAGCCTTCTCCGCATCGATTGAAATCAGGGCTGCTTGTTTGTCTCTTCTTACTTGTAGATATTCCATTATGTCTATTATATTTCTGATATTATCCTTTATTTGTCTACCTTCCACAAATCCAGCCTGATTTTTATGTACTATTTTTCCTATAATTTTTTTCAACCTGTTAGCCAATAATCCTGCATAAATTTTATAATCGGAATTTAACAATGAAATGGGTCTATCATTTGAGACAGATTCCAAATCCGTACCTTGTTTTGGCAGGAGCGTTATATACCCTTGAGTCCAAGAGTCTGGAATATTCCCTTCTCTACTGCTTCCTCTATTACTTCTTTTAGTGGGTTGATTAATTCATTTAACATTTCTTTGTAGTATTCTGCTGGTATGCCATCTGGACCTGGGGATTTCCCTATTTTTAATTTTTGAATTGATTCCTTAATTTCTGCGGTTGATATTGGTTCATTTAATAATTTATGGTCTTCTTCTGCTATCTCTATTAATTTATTTTTCTTTATATATCCCTCTATTTCTTCTATTGGCACTTCATCTTTTTGATATAATTTTTTGTAATATTTTTCAAATTCTTTTTTAATTTCTGTCATATCCCATATCTTCTACTTTTATTTTATTTATTAATTTTTCATTTCTTTATTTCTTTAGTTGCCAGGCAAGGATCTTGCCTGGCTTATTTGCCCATTCAAAATTTTTATATTTCCAAAATTTGATTTGTTGTTCTACCTCCTGTTCTATAATTTTATTATATTCTACTCTCAGTAATTTAATTTCTTGATTTGATCTCTCTTTATTTTTGCTTGCATAGGCCAATTTTTCCTTCCTTTTAATTTCTTCTAAAAGCTCCCTTTTCTTTTTTTCTTTATTCTTATATGCTATTGAGTTTTGTTGTATGAAATATCCCCCAACAACCGCCTTCCCAGCACCCCACACTGTTTTAACATCTGTCCCTTTCCTCCAATTGTTTTCAAAATAGCTTGACTATTTTGACCAGTCAAGCTTGCAAAAATTTATCATTTGCCCGACAATAAATGTTGGAAATGTAATGAGACTAAAGGTACATTCTTTCACCTTTGGTGGACATGCCCAAAGATTAAGACATTCTGGGAGATGATCTATAACGAAATGAAAAAGGTACTCAAATATACCTTTCTGAAGAAACCAGAGGCCTTTCTCCTGGGCATGGTTGGCCAATTGGTGTCAAAGAAGGTTAGAATTTTTTTTATGTATGCAACAGCAGCAGCAAGAATGCTCATCGCGAAGTATTGGAAGACACAAGATTTACCCACCCGGGAAGAATGGCAGATGAAGTTGATGGACTATATGGAATTGGCGGAAATGACTGGCAGAATCCAAGACCAGGGAGAAGAGTCGGTGGAAGAAGACTGGAAAAAGTTTAAAGACTATTTACAGAAATACTGTAAAATTAATGAATGTTAGGAAAATGTTGGAATGAAGTTATATGGCTTTAGTAGAAATGTTATAAGGAATTAAGTATAAATAGACTAATAGAGTATTAAAGGGAAAAATAAGGTTAGAATGAGTTAAGATAATTAAAGGATAGAAAGCAGAGGAAGATGGAAAGGAATTGCTGAAACAATTAATAGAAGTGGAATACAAAAAGGGAGGTGTGAGGAGGTCATTGAAATAAGTGAATGAAAGATAAGATATTGAAACTGTTTGATGTGTTTTAAACTGTTTTTGTTTTGTTTTGTTTTGTTTTGTTAGATTAATGTGTTAGTGTTAGGTATTGTTTTTGTATTGTATTGTATTGTATTGTTTATTTCTTTTTTGTAGTGTTTAAATTGTTGGAAAAGTAATAAATATTATTTTAAAAAACCACACAATTGTTTTCAAAATATTCCTTCATCAACTTTCTGGCTCCTTGTATTACTTTTTCGTTTTTTAATAAGAAAACATTCATTCTCCACCTTTTTTTCCCTTTCTCCTCTTTTCCTTTAAGAGTTAATGATACTGGATTGTGATCTGTAAGTGTTTTTGGCAATATTTCGGCATTCTCTGCTTCAATTGTCATATCCTTAGTAATCCATATACTGTCGATTCGACTATACAAATTTTTTGGTTCTGAGAAAAATGTGTGGAGGAGCCGTTTTTTCCTTATAACACTGGGCCCCAGTCCCCACCCCCTTGCAGCTGACCCCTTGCTGCTATCTGCTTTGCAGGGCATTGAGGAGGCATCCTGCTAGCCAAAGGAGACATGTGTAATTCACATTTGTAGTGTTCTAAATATGTACAAAGCAACCTTGCTGGGGGATGTGGATGAGGTTAACCCTTTCTCTCCCTGCCATGGTCCCAACCCAAATCTTTGAAGCTGCTGTATTTCAAGGGAAGATCCCTTGGCCCCCCTGGCAGACTTCGACTCCCTCCTCCCAGCCATCCCAGGAGACCTCAGGCTTCCCCTTGGCTGCTTCTAAGGTAATAAACAACCACCAAGTAATACCATGCCTACTTTGGATCTGAGAATTAAGAAGATCACCTGCCAAGAAGAATACACAGCTATTTCTCCCCCTCAAGGTACCTTGTATTCCTCGACAGCCTCTTCCAGAGGAATCACCTCGTGGTGTTTGTGCTTCTTGGATCTGCCCCAAAACACACAGATGGGGGCTTCATCCTCCTTGCAAAAGAGTTTCAGGGGCTCCTGGTGCTTCTCACAGACTCCTCCTTTCCCTCTTGAAGACTGAGAGTCTTGGCTACTTCGACAAAGGTAGCCAATTGCCGATTGCGGACGAGGCTCCTTCTCTGGACTCCAACTCGGCCTTGAGGACAGGAAGCCAGCCTCCTTTTTTCCCCGCTGCACTGGTTCAGGCCGGACCGGCAGAAGTTGTGCCCACACTCTGGGATGGTCCCTGTGTCGTAAGAGTCAGGGTCAGAGAGGGGAATGAAGGAGAAGGACCCCACCAAAATCAATTAGATCGTATTCTGCCTTAACACCCTACAAGAAGGTCAACTGTGCCTTGGGGAATGGATCGTTTTTTGCTGTATCAAATTGTATCCTTTTTGCTGTATCTTTCTCATTGACTTTAAGAAGAAGAATAGTTTGGATTTGATATTCCGCCTTTCACTCCCTTTAAGGAGTCTCAGAGCGGCTAACATTCTCCTTTCCCTTCCCCCCCCCCCACAACAAACACTCTGTGAGGTGAGTGGGGCTGAGACTTCAAAGAAGTGTGACTGGCCCAAGGTCACCCAGCAGCTGCTTGTGGAGGAGCAGAGACGCGAACCTGGTTCCCCAGACTTACGAGACTACCGCTCTTAACCACTACACCACACTGGCTCTCTCAGAATGGATCTGAATGTAGTTTTCGACTCAAATGTATTTTTCCTCAAAATGCTGTACTTTTCTAAATGTATCCAAATGTATCCGAATGGGTTTTTGTATTTCCCCCCAATCTCATCGCCTAGAGAATGTTCCTTAAATGTAACAATCACTTGTTCCAAATGTATTTGATTCAAATGTATTCGAGTGTATACTTTTATGGGAAAACGTAGCTAGGAAAATGTGGAGATATATACCGGTATATATATTGCTTATAGTGCCTTTGAACGGTCAGCGTTCCACCCTCTATCCTTTCACGAGCTGTCAAAAACACTCTCCACACCACACTGCCATCTACTGGGTCTACAAATAATACCATGAATACAGACAAATACAAGCTCTAAAATAAATTAGTTTTATTTTCCCATAAGTATGCAAACATAAGACTATCACACCCAAATTGATAGCTATGCAGAACAGGATTTTCCCCCCTCCCTCTTTGAGGGGGGTGGAGGGAGGAACGGGCGGGATCGACATCAGATAGCTGACCTGGGGGGCGCTGCGACCGGTGCCCATTGGGAAGGAACAAGACAGGAAAAGGAAGGAAATGGGAGAGGTATTTTTAAGGCCCCACTTTTCACATGGTGTCCTGTTGTGTGGTCAGAAAGTACTCTTTATTGTTTGATTTGGGTTAATGTCAGAATAAAAGCGAGTGCCTTCAAAATAACACATTCCTTTTTATCTTACCAATTTCTCATATTGTAAGAAGCGGAAGAAGAAACTATAGAGAGCATTCATATTTTCCTTCTGATCAATGAAGTCAAACGTTACAATTATCCATATTAGAATGAGCATCTATAGGGAGAAGACAGATCTCAGCAAGCCAAAGCAAGACCAAGACAACAAACCCCTTCTGGAATATGGTCAGCGTGTACAACATCTAGCTGAATCATCACCAGGATAACTAAGTCAGACTGGGGGAATATCATTCTTCAGAACCAAGACATCATTACCATGCTTTCCAAGTTACCTGAAAGTCACTAGAACACTTGCGAGCACAGAGCCAAGACACAGCTGAAAGAAGAGAATCCTCTGTTATTACGGAAATGGGAATCAGAGTCTTCAGTAGCCTAGTGCTTATCACTGTGCCTGCAAGACATTGAAAGACACTGCTTAACATGCTGAACATCTTCACTCTTGATAATTTCTCACAAGCTCGAAGCAGCCCCGGTTCTTGTTAAGGGAGAAGGCAGGGCAATGCAGCTACTTTGACATACTTTGCTGCCAAGGGGAAAGAGAAGCCAAAACATGTCTTCTTTACCAAGCTTGGCACTGAGTGCGATGGTCAGCAAGTTCTGAATTTCTTCTGGTGCCAAGCCTCTCTCTTGCGCAATCTTTTCCACAGTCTCCAAAGGACTCTGCAAAGCTCCCTGCTTCCGTGAGGCACTATCTTGAATTAGAAAAAAGGCAAAGTGTGATTCAAATCCATTCGAAAACCGTCCTCATGCATGATGGCCTGTCCAATGGCTTGCTTTACCATCAATTGGCAAGGGAGCCCCATTGAGATGCCATGGCATTTGGAAAACTCTGGAATGCTGAACTTGCCTTTTGCTTTCTTGCTCCTTCGTTCAGTGGGTAGGTAGGTGTAGGTAGGGGCAAGTCGAAAGCTTCCTTGAAATTCCTCAGCCCCAGCCAGCATTGCCAATGGGCAGGATGATGCGAATTGGAGTTCAGCAACGTCTGGAGGGCCAGAGGTTACCCTCACCTGTTTTATCGGTTAGTGTGCTAAGATCTGGGCACAGGCCCAATTCAGCTGACGGTACTTAACAAGGGCTTGCTTTACACAAAACATGAGAGCTAATACACTATTCTGCTCCAATATACAAAACAGCCCCTTCTCTAGAGAAAGCTCAAGAAAATACAAACTTCGGGCTTTGTAGATGGCTGTAAAGGTTGCTGAAAGGTTTCTAGTTCACTAGTTGGAAACAGCTTCCAGGCTAGGCAGGACCAAGGTTGCTTTGTAACTGTTCCTGTCTGCCTGCTCGCCATCGTGCATATTTGTAAACCATTTCTGCCAAAATATATACATCTACAATAGTAGTTTCTGGAAGCAGACCCTGCAAGAGTGCACACTCCATGAAGTCCATATGAAGAGTGTTACGGAATGGAGGGGGGCATATGAACGAAGTCTTACTCCCGAGTAAGAGACGTAGAGCCCGAGGCGATGACCTCAAGGGAACCCTGCCACACTAGGACTCCCCTCGCCCCGTCACAACGTTGCACCAAGCACTGCACAAAAGTCCAAAACCCCAAGAAGAAAGCACCATTTCTGACCCCGTATCCCGTTGCTATACAGGATGATGTATTTGATGAATGAACAATGTATTTGCATGAGGATGCGCTCTAGCCAATCAGATGGCGTTGAATGTAGCCCTTCAGCCAATCGCAGCAATGCCATGGCTCTGCAGAGGCAGCTCAGCTCCAGCTGTTTTGCACGCTCCACTGAGCGCTGACAAGGTGATGACAGCTCCCGCTGCGAGAACAACAGACTGAGTCAATCGAAACCTCGTTACCCTGTTAATCCAACCAAAACTAGATGATGTTGAGTCGTTTAGTGGTGTCCGCCTCTTCGTGGCCCCCTGGACCAGAGCATGCCAGGCCCTCCTGTCTTCCACTGCCTCCCGCAGTTTGGTCAAACTCATGCTGGTAGCTTCAAGAACACGGTCCAACCATCTCATCCTCTGTCGTCCCCTTCTCCTTGCGCCCTCCATCTTTCCCAGCATCAGGGTCTTTTCCAGGGAGTCTTCTCTTCTCACGAGGTGGCCAAAGTCTTGGAGCCTCAGGTTCAGGATCTGTCCTTCCAGTGAGCACTCAGGGCTGTATTAACATCCTGACAGTAAGGACCTTACCCAACCCTAGTCACATGTAAACACCATTTTAAAGTATGGCTTGATGAGCTAAAAGATGAAGAGGAGTACCCATTCAGAAGCACATCATATTGGAAACAATGCAGTTCAGTACTAACACTCAGATATGCACCAGCTTTATTCCCAGTTCGTGACCCAGCAAGAGATAAACGTACTGGAGCTGATTTACATGCATTGTTCTTCTTTGCTGGATTGGGGCATAAGCACTGAGCCCTATCTTTGTTCTTACCTTTATTCAAACGGGTCAAGGCTTCTTCAATGGAAAGTCGGTCATCTTCTGTCTCTTCTGCTTTGTTTACTACCAGTAGCCAGCAAAGCTTGTTCTGGCACCTTAGAAGTCTTGTGTCTCTACATTTTTTTCTTATTCCAGGAAAGAAACACAAGACAAGGTCAGCTTTTTTTTAAAAAAAATTTCTTTTGCTACTATTTTCCTGTCCTCCGATAATCATGTTTGGTGCAGAAAAGTAATGGAGAGCTTTGTTGTTTGTTTTTGTTTAGTCATGTCTGACTCTTCGTGACCCCCTGGACCAGAGCACGCCAGGCACTCCTGTCTTCCACTGCCTCCCGCACTTTGCTCAAACTCAGGGATAGCTCAGTTGGTAGAGCATGAGACTCTTAATCTCAGGGTCTTGGGTTTGAGCCCCATGTTGGGTGAAAATTTCCTGCATTGCAGGGGGTTGGACTAGATGGCCCTTGTGGTCCCTTCCAACTCTAAAGTTCTATAAATCTATAAATCTATAAATCATGCTGGTAGCTTCGAGAACACTGTCCAACCATCTGGTCCTCTCTCATCCCCTTCTCCTAGTACCCTCCATCTTTCCCAGCATCAGGGTCTTTTATAATTCCTCATAGTAATCCCATCTGATCACTACATCTCTGGATATTTGCACTCCTACATAGGCTGAGCCTGTGACCTGGCTCAGGAACTAAGTATTTGTCATTACAAAGACTGGCCAGGCTCCCCAGGGTACCCAATCAAGTGAGCACTAACAGGTAACCTGCCAGACAGAAGGTAAACAACGCACTCAGATGTCTGTTGTAGACCGCCCTTTCTGTGATGTAGGTATGATGTATCTGGGGGGTGGTCTTGAGCTGCACCCCTTCTGTGATGTAGGTATGATGTGTCTAGGGGTGGCCTTGGACTCCAGGGCGAGCAATTTAAAATGTCTCTATAAGGGCAGGCACACCTTTGTTTGGGGTCCTCCTTCTTTTCCTGCATGTGAAGGGGGCACCCTGTTGCAACAGTTCAATAAAGATCAGGCTTACTAGCTGCTTTGCTTCTCAATCTTCTCTGCTTGGCCTCTGTGGTATTTTCTCCGACCGATGGAGAACCTACAAAGGACTCTAGAAGGGCTCTTGTGTTCCCCATAAGGGAATAAGGGCAGATTTTTGTTTATTACAATATGCAGGAGTGGGCTGCAAAGACGGAGTTTGGCCTCATTAGGTCTCCCTACCATGAACTCCTTAGGTGGGCCACCCTGCGTCCGCCTCGGCATCGCGCCTCGCTATTCTGCAACTCGAGATAACACTGAACTGCTCTGCAGGGTTGTTGTAAGGATTGCAAGTCAAGGCATCCAAAGTGCCTTTGAACATTGAAAAGCCCCTAGTCAATGCTTTGAACTACTGTTGCTTTAAAAACGAAACTCTGATTAGTAAGAGTTTGGGG